TCCCTGGGATGACCCATTCAGGTTCCATCTTAAAGGCAGTTGAGGAGCTTGTTTGGTCTCTGACCATTCCGTGGTAGGCAAAGGCGACAGGGGCGTCTAGTCTCAACTGAGCCAAGATTTCGGATTCGGGATTTAGGAACTGTAAGGCAATTGGGGGAGCTGGTTGACACAGAACATTCCTGTGATGACCAATCCAGGATTTAGGGACCGTAAGCTCCCATTTAACGGCTGGATGCATAGTCCAGTGGCTTTCCTCCCCGCTGTGCTCTGTGGCACAGAGCACAATTCTTCGCTTGGAGGTGGGTTGGTACACACTGATGTGCAGGTACCCACTAATGTGCAGTTGGCCTTGGCAGGCAGTTCTGGGTGCTCTTCGGAGCCATGCTGGGGCTCTTTGGTTGAAGGAGGAGTAGAAGCTGCTTGTTGTAGCTGTCTAGAGTCTGGATGCAGGGCTTCCGGGTGCTTGTCACTCTTGTTTGGGTGACACTTCCCCTTAGCTTCGCCAGCTCTGGCCGTGTCTTCCGGAGACTCACAGCATTTAAAGCCTACCTTGTACTCTTCTAAGTCTAACATTCTTTCCCTTTCTTCTCTTTGCTTTAAACATTGGCTGGTAAGCAGATCCAACAGCAATTTAGCAGAAATATCCAAACAAGACACAAAGCACTTTATAACTTTTACTTATAGCAAAGAAAGCAGACAGATGAAACTTTAACAATGCAGACAGATGGAGACTTCTTGCAATTAGAGGAAGATTAGCCTTATTAATTCACTTTACTTCCTTTAAAGCTGAAGTTAATATGAAGATAATATATTGATTTTACTATTCTGGATCTTGAACTGAGTTGCCTTCCAATTCAGACCCAGATAGATAACGCAACAAAATGGATTTAAACAAATATTTAATCCTGGAATCCTTAACAGAAACTTACATTCCTGAAGATGCGTCCAGTAGTGAATATTTGTCCGTTATGTCAGTAAAATCAATAATTCCTCCATATTCACTTTTGCCTGATTACATTTGATGTCCATGCATGCTGCATGGTTGGTTTGCACAAAGACAATTAAACACGAGCTGGCACGTAGCCAGGATATCCTGTGATGAACTTTAGTGGCTCCTCCTACAGACTTGTTAACAATGGGATTCACTGAATAACTAAACTACATTAACCATAAGCCATATCTTAAGGAGACAGCACTTAACCCAATAAATGCCAAACATTCTAACATACAGATCTATCTAACTGATGGGTCCAGAACACCTTCCATCTTTCCTTGATTATAGATCAAGGGAACTAAGTATTTGCACAATATGTCCAAAATATAATAATTTGATGCTAGTCATTTCTGCTCCAAGTAAGAACTCTGGACAGATTTATTCCATGAATAATTTGTCCTATGATTTGTTTGCATTTTCATTTTTAAGATAACTCTTAAACTGAATTGTTTCACCATGATAAAAATAATAGTTTGTACTATTATAAACTAATATTTTTCAAAAATAAAAATGAACTTTAATTGATTTTAAAATTAACACTTTATTGAAATTACTAAACCTATATTACCCTAATTTTCAAAAATACACAAACTAGTGTCCTATTGTTTTAATAATGGAAAGAACAGAATTAAAAAAACATGCCTATATGATAAACCAGTTAAACTACTTTGGCTCCTGGTCTTTGTCCTCAACATTTCAGATATCCAACTTGATTAGGATACTATCATTTGATTTCTTACTTTTTCAAGTATGATTGTTACTAGATTAGACTACACGGTAACAAGTTTGGAAAGAAGAAAAATGCAATATTTGGTATAGTTGGGAGATGCCTGAGGATTGCATTGTGATGTCATATCTCTTTATTGGCAGTGTCATTGAATACAGTACCAGAAAGCTAAACAAGAGAACTGAAGAAGTTCTTGGATGAGAGGTGAAACATTTTCAAAGGAAAAAAAAACCCCAAAAAAGTCAAATTGTGTTTTGGAAAAGCACTTTTGGGACAGCCATGACCTGGATGATTGAGAATCTCCATAGACAGAAAGCTGAACAGGACATTGCCCCTAAGAAACAACCAGCAGAAACTGAAAAATGTCTTTGCCTTTGCCTTATTTCAAGAAATATGAAGGAGCCAGAAGAATTTTTTCTTATATGTTTAATATTTGAGAATGGCATGTTGACCAGAGGTTTAAGATCAAGGCTTTAGAAAGTTTGAAGCAATAAACAAACAGCACATGACTATCCATTATTCTTAGCTAAGGATGTTTTATACAATTAATCCAGTTTTCTGGCTTAATGGCGTACTGAACCACAAAGAAATTACATGTACTGGGTTCCAGCAATATAACAGGCTAAAGTATGGTTGGCTGTTTTTTTGATTCAGTGTGTGGGTGAAGGTAGCCAGTCTCTCCGAATACATCAGCTAGGAAAACAGCCATGCTACTCTTTGGTTAAGAGTACAGATGCTGCACTGAGGTATGGTTGCAATTATAATGTTGAGGTATGCAAATATTTATGATGTCACAATTTCATTTATTGCATGGAATAAATAGGCATACCCTATTTTTCACTGAATGGAATCAAATATTTTGGCAATTGAACTTTGAAGAAGAAGAATAGGAAGTGTAGTGACGCTTGTGAGCTTTGGTATTGGAGAAGACTCCTGAGAATACTATGGACAGCCAGAAAATAAATTTCTGGATCATTGAACAAATCAAGCCAAAGTTCTCACTTGAGACACAAACTCAAATTATTCCATTTCAGAAACATTGTATAATTATCTGAAGAAGACGCTAATGCTGGGGAAGAGTGGAAGGAAAGAGAAGAAGAGGATGACCTCCAGCAAGGTGAATAGATTCAGTTACAGTGGCAATGAGTGCACAATTGGAAGAGTAGAAAGACCACTTAGGGTTAGATCATCATGGAGAAAATCTGTCTGTGTGGTTGCTAAGAGGCAACAGTGATTTGATGGCACACAATCAAACCCCTAATTATTCCATGCCCAAATCATTTCTAAATCTTCCTTAAAGCCAACCGAAATCTCCCCCGAAATTTGTTAGGGTTTTCTTATTTGTTATGGATGTAATATTCCAAGCATCGTCTTACCTAGGTATTATAAAGTGGTACTAACACTTCATATGATCGTGATTCTATCCTTCTGTTAATGCAGGCTAGGATTCCATTGGCTTTTTTGGCAGCTGCTGCTGCACACTGTTGGTTCATAGTGTCTATCAGGACTCCTATATCCCATTTGCAGTTGTTGGTACTGAGCCAGGTTCCACCAAATATATCTATACTTTTGGTTTTTCTTGCCTAAGAATAAAATCTTACTTTTCTCACAGTTGAATTTCATTTTGTTAGATAGTGCCCAGTGTTCAAGTCTGTCGAGATCCTTCTGGATCTTGAGCCTATGTTCTGGGTGTTGGCTATTCCTGTCAGCTTGGTGTCATCTCCAAATTTGATGAGTTCCTCTTCTATTCCCTCATCTAAATTATTTATGAAGATATTGAAGAGTACTGGGCCGAAGACAGAACCATGGGATATCCCACTACTTACTTCCCTCCATGTTGATATAGTTCCATGAAGGACTACAAGTTGAGTGAGGTTTGTCAGCCAGTTATGAATTAATTTAGTGATGATGTTGATTATTCCATAGTTTTCTAACTTGTTAAGAAGTAGGTTGTGGGCTACTTTGTCAAATGCCTTATTGAAATCCAAGTATACTATGTCCACTATACTATATTATCTATAGTATTATGTCCACTTTATTATCTATACTATAGATAAGGTTCTATACAGCCTAGATGGTGTCATTCCTGGATATCTTGCAGCCACATAATGATTCAAGGCTAATTTCCTGATTAATTCCTCCTCCCTGCCTAGGAAACATATCTTTTCTTTTAAAAGAGTTTCTACTTCACAGATATCTCAATACTTTAATAGGAAGAGAGAGAGAAAAATTGCAAAGTTGCTTCAGCTACAGTGAATAAACAAATGGTCCACTGGTAGAAAATAAAAGTTGAGTGAAGAGACACTGAAGAACATCATGATTATGAATAAAGAAAATACAGGTAGTCCTCGACTTACAACAGTTCATTTAGTGACCATTTGAAGTTACAATGGGACTGAAAAAACGTATGACCATTTTCACATTTATGACCATTGCAGCATCTCCATGGTCATATGATCAAAATTCAGATGCTTGACAACTGTTTCATATTTATGATGGTTGCAGTCTCCCGGAGTCACGTGATCACCTTTTACAACCTCTCAAGCAAAGTCAATGGGGAAGCCACACTCAGTAACTGTGTTACTAACTTAATAACTGCCGTGATTCACTTAACAGCTGTGGCAAGAAAAGTCGTAAAATTCAATTAACTTTCTCACAAAGCAACACTTTGGTCTCAGTTGTAGTTGTAAGTCAAAAACTACCTGTATACAAATTTAAGAGTAATAGCTAGGCAAAGGGATTGGTTTTGACTTTGACAAGGATTTACTCCTGAAAAACATGTATCTTACCCACCAGGATGGATTTTGTAGAATAATTATATGAAATACAAAATTAGTTGTAACTATCCTGTTGTAAAATGGCACCACATAAGCAGCAGTAAGAGATACAATGGGAAAGCACCTACGGAGATCAGAGCTACTAGAACAAAGAAGACTGTCTTTCTCAATTGCCTCATTAGTTTTAAAAGAGCAAGTGGGAGTGGAGAGGGTAGGAAGCACTTGGTTTTAAAGGGAAACAAAGTCTACCACCCCCAAGTATATTCTCCTTTTTGATGGGGCAGAGAAACATATTCCTTTTGGGAGCCTTCGTGGAAGGCTGTACCATCCAGGCACATTACAAAGTAGAGCAGCCGAGTTTTACAGGACTATCTGATACTTGACTGGCTGCCCAGAAGAGTGAGTGCCAAAGCTGAGAGAGAGGAGGATGCTACCTGAAGAAGCCTGAGGGCCTCAGGTTTCACCATGACCATTTGAAGGCAACAGCAGCTGTTCTGCCAACAGGCACAGCTCGTCTCCAAGCTCCCTCTCCCGAAGTCAGTTAGAAGGGAGAGAAAATTGGACCCTAAAAGGGTCTTTGGTGGGATATTGCTCACACCGTCAAACAGTAAGTAGGCAACAAAATCCCAGTTGCTGGCTGGCAGCTTTCACGCCTCACAAATCATCTTCTGCTCTTTTCTGTCCCTGGTACAGGATGAGTTCCTTAACTTCCATGTCTTCTTGCATGGCTGATTATTCATGCCTGGCTTTGATTGCCCTGGGGCAAATTATGTGTTGCTACTGCTGTTGCTGCTGCTATCACATCTTTGGCAGGAGGAATGCTTGGCTATGTGTGCCCCCCCCCAAAAAAAAACCAAAGCAAAAAGCTATCTTTCTCCTTTAAATCTCTGGTGGTCATAACGGGTCAAAATGCTACAGTGTGGAAAAGAAGGGCATGAGGATATGGGGGGGGGAAGTGGGGAGAGGGCAAAATAGAAGAGAGTTTGGGAGGGGAAAAGAGGTGTCTCTGGGCCAACTGCGTGTGCAAGAAGAGGTAAAGGACATGGCTGAGATGTCAAAGAAGCTGCTTACAAAGTGCTAAGACTCCATCCTCTTCATGCTTCACAGGATGACTTGAATCTTGGCTTTAAAAGCAGAAATATCCCAGCTCTGGGCGTCTTCATCTATCACTCTAAATATAAACACAGACCACACAGTGGGCTACACGAAAGGACGTATGTTATTTGCTAGGGCAGTATTTAGAAAGTAGGATATGTTCTGAATCTGGATTTCATCTGTGGAAGCATCAAGTAAGAATTCAAGTCTTCTGGTATCCTCTTGACCTGGAAGTCTCAGAAGTCAGCTAGGTCATCCAGTAGCTGCTACTCAAATAATGGCCAAAAGAGACATCTGTCCATGTTCAGAGACACTCTTCTCTGTATTGTTTACTATATGTTTGAAGGATGAATTTAGGATTGAGGCCAAGATCAATTTGAAATCCTGGGGAAAGAGGGAAAGTAAATGAACTGTTCCTGTATTGGGTGAATGTTATTTCTTGTCTGGATATTACTGATATTCCTTGTATGTGATTTGATATAGTTGGAACAAAGAACATTACCCAAATGTTGCAGTTCATGTGAGGGCTCACTAAAAAGCAAGATCTTTGTTCCCAGTTATGGCATGATTTGATTAACTTAAGTGCTTAATTTGAACTGTGGAGGGCATGACATGTTTCAACCCACCCCTTTGGCTTGTTGATGGGGGAAGGATACAGTTTCTGTATGTTTCCCAAGGAGTTCACATCCATTCTGCATTGGAAGCTGAAATAGTCAAGCAAACTGCTCAAGTACCTCCCTCCCCCACACCCTGCCAAAGGGGGAGGGGAAGCAAGTCCCTTGATGGAGAATTTTGTGCTAGATGACTTATCATTTCCCCACATAGAATATCCAGAAAAGAAAAGAATTGTTTATATGAGAGCCTTCTTAAATAAAAAATTGTAATTCTTATTTTCCTGAAATAACAAGCACTGGGGCTCAAGCCAGTGTGGAATTAGACGAGAAAGATATTCAGCATAAAATCAATGGTACTTTAAAATGTGCACATTGTTCAGCTGAACTTGGTTCTTGTTGGAGTCTGCTAGCAAATCATTGTTTTAGTTAGGACTCATTCAAGTATCCTGAACTGTAAAAGCAGAGGAGGGTGGGGAGACGATTTAGGAAGACTTTGACTTACGACCACAATTGAGCCCAAAATTTATATTGCTAAGCAAGACAGTTAAGTGAATGTTGCCCCATTTTACAACCTTTCTTGCCACAGTTGTTAGATGAATCCCTATCATTGTTAAGTAATATGGTTGTTAAGTGATTCTAGCTTCCCCATTGACTTTGCTTGTCAGAAGATCGCAAAAAGTGACCACATGACCCCAGGACACTCCAACCATCATAAATTTGAGTCAATTTCCAAGCATCTGAATTTTGATCATGCGACTGTGGGGATGCTGCAATGGTTGTGTGAACAATGGTCATAAATCACTTTTTTCAGTGCTGTTGTAACTTCGAACAGTCACTAAATAAACTGTTGTAACTCAAGGACTACCTGTATATTAATCTGTTCATTTAACTACTTCATGCTGGTATTTCATGTATCCTTTCAAAGAGCTGAGAATTATTATATAGGGAAATGTTAAGAATCTATATACTACTAAAACTCTACAGTTTGTTTGTAACCTTCAATTATTACATCACCGGGCAACACTTTTTGAATCAATTGTACCTCAAATGAGTTATCCTAAAGAATCCATCCAAAATCTGGGAATCATTACTCCCATGGGATTGAAAAATTGGCAAAGTTGTCAGTGTAATCATCGTTTCCAATGCTCCCTGCCAGGTTCCCACAAGGAAAGTAAATGGGAAAGCTGGCAGGATGTTGGAAGTCACTCTTACACTGTTTTTTTGCTTGCCCATGTCAATTCTTAGTTTAGTTAAGAAAATATCTTTCAAACAATGACCCAACAGATCACAGTTGTCTAGTTCTCTATTAAAGATCACCAGACCTTCAGATCCTGCATTCAAACAATATGCTAAAGTAGGCACAATTATATGCTAATTGTGAGAATCTAGCCATTTCTAAAAATGGGAACTAGTCAATCACATATTATATGTATACTATAACTGTTTGTTGCTAACCAATGTTTAAAGTTCAGCACATTGCATAAGCAGGAGTGCTATAGTTCAGAAGGAGCTCTTCTTATAGTTCTGGGGTGCTTCTCAAGGTTTCCTTAAACTTTGCACACTACAAGTGCTGAGAAACAATTCACACAATTATTGGAGCAGGGCTTTTCTAAACTGTTAAGTTATTATTATTTCCCCAAATTTAAATGTGATGAAGAGGTATGAATGCATTGTTTTGATATCTCTATATTTTAAGCTTTAAAGAAGTGTTTATGATGCTTCATTTTCGAGGCTACCATAGAGAAGAGAAAGATTTATGCATTACTGTTGTAATGTCAAGTTTTACATTAAATGAAAGCATATTCTTGTAATTCCTTGAGACTCCTGTCTAAGAAGCAATCCCAAATCACACACGGTTAACTTTCTTATGAAAATTTCCAAAACTGAGAAAATAGTTTATATGAAGAAAAGCTTCCCTTTTAGACGAACACTTATACATTACCAAAAATGAGGAAAGATTTAATGTGAATCTTCTTTTTGATGAAATTTGGAAATCAATTTCAAAGTTTGATTAATTTGGAAGTGATTACTGTAATTTAACTATAAATATAGCACATTTTATCACAGCATAAATAAGTTCTTTGACTGTAGTCCTGGTCCTAACTATTTATGGGCAACTTCAGAGTTCTTGCTCTTCCTATTCAGACTTGGGATGGACATCTGTATGACCTCTGTGGTGGACAGATGGCCTTTCAATGTAAGCTTTTATCCTGACTATTTAGCACTTTATAAAAACAATTTCCAGATCAAGTCTGGAAACCTTAAACAGAATATGAGCCATCAATTCTAAATTAGACCATATGATGCAAAGCTTTTTGTGTGCACAGGGCAAACAAACTGAGAAGCTACAAAGGTTCAAAATGGGTTTATAAATAGAGGGCCTTTTTGGAAACAATTAATTGGTTTTTGATTTGAGTGTAATATATTACTTCTGAACATGGCTTCTTGCTTTGCTTACCTGCTTTCCAAAAGGGGGAGAAAGTGGAAGACTTTTGCCGTATACAAAACCACATGCAGCATCTCTAGTATTCCAGAATGTATAAGAATGAGGTAGATGCAAACTTAAAAATGGATTTTGTAATAATAAAATATATTCAGTGAATTATAATAACTTGCAAAAACAGCAAATAACAGGTAAACTTAAAAAAGTTTTTTTAATGGCAGAACAATTGGTAGATATAAGGATGGGATATGTGGACCAATGATTTAACTTTTGTGAGAATCAGCTTCATTGTATTTTTCATCCCACCCTCACACCTACTAGGTGTTTAGTTTCTGTCCTAACAGGAAAGTGAGGCTTATGCTCCTGATATGGTTGTTTTTAAAAACATTCACTTCTTCCACTCTGGTGAATGCAGAGTATTCCATTTTGGGGAACTATGATTTGCAATGTGTTTATTTCAATTTTCCCTAAAAGTTCAAGGACAACAAGCTATAATTAAATATTACACCAAATAAAATCAGTTAGAAAGGTTATTAGATAAGAAATTAGCAGATGAAATCCTTGCTTCTAAGAGAGGAAATATTAAGATTACCATAGGAGTCAAATATTTGAATACATTTTCAGAAACATGGATTCACCATCAGACCCATTTATTTTCATAATCTACAAATGTCTAGGGAGAGCTGGTAATTTTTTCTATTGCATGGTAAAATAGCAATCCTTTTAAGACAAGCTTCATGAACTTGGCATGCTGGTGATATATTGGGCTTTGTTTTCACCAATTTCAATAAACACTCTAAGTAAACACTTCTGAAACAAACATATGTTAGAATGTTCCTTCTGAAAGATTCATAGGTCTTGATTGCCCTCATAGTTTTCAGTTGTTATGATAATTCCTACGTAGCACATGTTTTCAGAATCAGAAGCAAAAATGATAGTTTATAGCATTCTAAACAAACCTTATTGCATTCTTGGACAAAGTAATAAAATTAGCAAATTAGAGGAATGCTGTGGATATAACGTACTTGGACTTAACTAAGGCATTTGATAAAGTAGACCACGACCTACTACTTGATAAGATAGAAAAATGTGTGATATACAGCATCACAACCAGAAGGATGTGTAACTGGCTGATCAACCACACTCAATGTGTAGTCCTTAATGGAACCACATTTACATGGAGGGAAGTATGCAGTGGGGTACTTCAAGACTCTGTTTTAGGCCCAGTATTCTTTAATATCTTCATAAGATTATTTAGACAATAGAAAGGGAATTCATCAAATTTGCAGAAGACACCAAGCTGGCAGGAATAGCCAACACTCCAGAAGAGAGGTTTAACATACAGAAGAATATTGACAGACTTGAACACTGGGCGCTATCTAACAAAATGAAATTCAATGGTGAAAAAAGTAAAGTTCTACATTTAAGCAAGAAAAGCCAAATGTACAGGTATAG